TGTTTGAGGGTAAATCCATATTTGATCTGTGGGAGGCTTTTAAAGAGAGGTTGATTAGAGTGCAGGACAGACATGTCCCTGTGAAAATGAGGGATAGAAAGGGCAAGATTAGGGAACCATGAATGACAGGTGAAATTGTGAGACTAGCAAAGAGGAAAAAGGTAGCATACATAAGGTCTAGGTGACTGAAAACAGACGAAGCTTTGGAAGAATATCGGGAAAGTAGGACCAATCTGAAATGAGGAATTAAGAGGGCTAAAAGGGGTCATGAAATATCTTTAGCAAACAGGGTTAAGGAAAATCCCAAAGCCTTTTATTCGTGCAAAAGGAACAAGAGGGTAACTAGAGAAAGGGTTGGCCCACTCAAATACAAAGGAGGGAAGTTATGCAAGGAGTCAGAGAAAATGAGTGAGATTCTTAATGAGTACTTTGCATCGGTATTCACTGAGGAGAGGGACATGACGGATGTTGAGGTTAGGGATAGATGTTTGATTACTCTAGGTCAAGTCGGCATAAAGAGGGGACAAGTGTTGGGTATTCTAAAAGGCATTAGCGTGGACAAGTCCCCAGGTCTGGATGGGATCTATCCCAGGTTACTGAGGGAAACGAGAGAGGAAATAGCTGGGGCCTTAACAGATATCTTTGCAGCATCCTTGAGCACGGGTGAGGTCCTGGAGGACTGGAGAATTGCTAATGTTGTCCCCCTTGTTTAAGAAGGGTAGCAAGGATAATTCAGGTAATTATAGACCGGTGAGCCTGACGTCAGTGGTGGGGAAGCTGCTGGAGAAGATACTGAGGGATAGGATCTATTTACATTTGGAAGAAAATGGGCTTATTAGTGATAGGCAGCATGGTTTTGTGCAGGCAAGGTCATGTCTTACCAACTTGATAGAATTCTTTGAGGAAGTGACAAAGTTGATAGATGAGGGAAGGGCTGTAGATGTCATGTGCATGGACTTCAGTAAGGTGTTTGATAAGGTTCCCCATGGTAGGCTGATGGAGAAAGTGAAGTCACATGAGGTCCAGGCTGTACTAGCTAGATGGATAGAAAACTGGCTGGGCAACAGGAGACAGAGAGTTGTAGTGGAAAGGAGTTTCTCAAAATGGAGAACTGTGGCAAGTGTTGTTCCACAGGGATCCGTGTTGGGACCACTGTTGTTTGTGATATACATAAATGATCTGGAAGAAGGTATAGATGGTCTGATTAGCAAGTTTGCAGATGACACTAAGATTGGTGGAGTAGCAGATAGTGAAGGGGACTGTCGGAGAATGCAGCAGAATGTAGATAGGTTGGAGAGTTGGGTGGAGAAATGGCAGATGGAGTTCAATCCAGGCAAATGTGAGGTGATGCATTTTGGAAGATCCAATTCAAGAGCGAATTATATGGTAAATGGAAAAGTCCTGTGGAAAATTGCTGCACAGAGAGATCTGGGTGTTCAGGTCCATTGTACCCTGAAGGTGGCAATGCAGGTCGATAGAGTGGTCAAGAAGGCATACGGCTGCTTTCATTCATTGGAGAGGGTATTGAGTACAAGAGTTGGCAGGTCATGTTACTGTTGTGTAGGACTTTGGTTCGCCCACATTTGGAATACTGCGTACAGTTCTGGTCGCCACATTACCAAAAGGATGTGGATGCTTTGGAGAGGGTGCAGAGGAGGTTCACCAGGATGTTGCCTGGTATGGAGGGCGCTAGCTATGAAGAGAGGTTGAGTAGATTAGAGTTATTTACATTAAAAAGACAGGGGTTGAGGGGAGACCTGACTGAGGTCTACAAGATCATGAGAGGTATAGACAGGGTGGATAGCAAGAAGCTTTTTCCCCAGAGTGGGAGACTCAATTACTTGGGGTCACCATTTCAAGGTGAGAGGGGAAAAGTTTAAGGGAGATATGCGTGGAAAGTTCTTTACGCAGAGGGTGGTGAGTGCCTGGCACGCATTGCCAGCGGAGGTGGTAGAGGCGGGCACGATAGCATCATTTCAGATGTATCTAGACAGATACATGAATGGGCAGGGAGCAGAGGGATACAGATCCTTGGAAAATAGGTGACAGGTTTAGATAGAGGATCTGGATCAGCACGGGCTTGGAGGGCCGAAGGGCCTGTTCCTGTGCTGTAATTTTCTTTGTTCTTTGTTAAATGTTGCCCCAAGTCCTTTTCAAAACTTTCTCCTCTCTCTTTAAACATATGGACATTAGTTTTGAACTCTCTGATCCTAGAGAAAAGAACCTTGCTATTCACCTTATCTGTACCCCACCTGATCTTATAAACCTATCTAAAGGTCACTTCCTTTGCTCCAGTAAGAAATGCCTCAGCCCACTCAGCCTGTTTATTTAACTCAAACCTTCCATTCCTGGCAACATCCTGGTAAATCTTTACTGAATCCTCTCCAATTTAATAATAGCCTTCCAATAGCAGGGCGACCAGAACTGCACACTGTCCTCTAGAAGAGGCCTCACCAACATCCTGTACAACTTCAACATGACGTCCCAACTTCTATACTCAAAGTCTGAGCAATGAAGGCAGGTGTGTTAAATGCATTCTTCATCACTTTGTCTAACTGTGACCTAAATTTCAAAGAATTATGTACCTGAACTTGTCAGTCTCTCTGTTCTACAACTCTATCCAAGGCCCCAGCATTAATTGTATAAGTTCTGCCCTTGTTTGTTTTACCAAAATGCAATACCTTGCATTTATCCAAATTAAGATCCGCCTGTCACTCCTCAGCCCATTGACCCATTTGATTAAGATCTCTATGTAATTTTCCATCCCTCCCTGCGACAAGTAAGAGCTGTGGTTTAATTTCACATGTTACAATTTCATAGCCACTCCATTATTTCAGGGATCAAGTCTTTCAGCCCACAAATTGTACATTTCCAAGCAGAGTTTTATCATTAGGGCAATCAGAAATCTATCAGCCTCTACCTTAAACATGCACAGAAAACGGAGTAACCCCAGACTCCTACCGGTGGAGAATTCTAAAGGATTATAATCCACTGAGTAAAACAAAATAAACCCTCATGTCAGACCTTTGTCCATATTAAAATCCTGCCTGGTTCTAGTCTTCCCCAAGCAGCAACCATTAAACCTGTATCTTCCCTTCATCAGCCATCTGTCAAATCTCTCGTAATACGGGCCTAGTTTGCCTACTTTCTCTCCATAGGATGTTGCCACCATCTCAGGGACAAGTCTGGTGAATCTTCATGGACCTCTCTACATGGAAATAACATTGTTCCTGAGATAAAGAGATCCAAACTGCACATAGTACAGCAAACTCCGATGTGTCTGAAACAAGATTTCACTGCTCCTGTACTCAAATCCTCTTACAATAAAGGCTAACATTCCATTTGCCTTCCTACCAGCATATTCAGGCATTCAGCAGGAAATCAGAGATTTATGTTATAATGGTGCAACTGTAATCATGGGTGACTTTAATGTACATATTGATTGGATTAAACAAAGTGATGGAGTATATCTGGGGATTGAGTGTGTGTGTGTGTGCGCGCGCGTGTCTGCGATGGTTCTTTCGAACATTACATCGAAGAACCAACTAGACAGTCCGTTCAAGTTGGAATACTTTACATTGAAAAAGTATGAATTAACAATATTGTTATGCGCAGGTCCCTTGAGGAAGAATGACCATAATGTGACAGCATTCATCATTTAGGTGAAGAGCCAAGTATTTAACTAGATGTTAGGATCTTGAGACTAAATAATGTGAGTTATGAACATAAGAAACACAAATTTACAAGGATGGATTGTGGAGCCACACTAACGTGGTTGAATGTGGACAGGTAATGGCTCATGTTTAAAGATAGTACTGATGATTTACAACAACTACTTATTCCTGTCTGACACAAATTAAAAAGGAAGAAAGGTGATATGGCTATAGGTTACAAAAGAGATTAGGCAGACTATAGATCCAAATAGGAGAGATATAAAATTGCTAGAGCGAAGAAAACAGCAAGCCTAAGGATTGGAAAAATTTTAGAAATTAGCAAAAGAGGAAAATAAGTGGTCAGTTTCAGTGAACATTGAAACTGATTGTAAAAACTTTTATAAACTTACAGATTTCTCAAAGATAAAATGTAGGTCCAGTGCGGTCAGAATCCAAGTGACATTATATTGGGGAATAAATAAATTGCAGAAGATTTGAACATATACTTTGCTTCTGTATTCCCAAAAGAGGAAATAAGTAAGTGCCCAGAAATGTTAGGGAATCAAGGGTTGAGCTGGAGGGCAAAAGTGAATTAAATCAGTATTAAGAGGGAAATAGTGCTGGGGTAAATAATAGTGTTAAAAGTTCACAAACCACAAGGAGCTGATCATCCACATCCCAGAGTAGTGAATGAAGATACCCTGGAAACGTTAGATATGTTGATGATCATCTTTCAAAATTCTGTAGAGTCTAAAGCATTTCCTACAGACTGTTACTGTCTTTCCTTTTACATCGAAATATACAGAAAAGAGTTTCCATGACTGTGTTTCTTAACATTGAACTTTCAGATTTAATTTTCTCTGTTTTTCATCACTGTCTGCGTGTTCCTGAAATATTTTCAAATCGCTGATCTACCTCTACACTTTGCCGCTTTGTCTGCCTTTATTTTTGAATTGGACGCACTCTCCTTGACCTTCTTTGACAACCACAGGTGGACAGGTGGTTCCACTTTCTTGTTGAGTCCTGCTTTTTGACCTGAATCTTTCTATTTTAACTGTTAGTTTTGAACATCTGTTTCCAAATCTGCCACTGCTTATCTATGGAGAATCGCCTTAGCCTCTTTCCTTAGATTCCTCTAGAGGGATATGGACCACTTGCCAGCTGATGGGATTAATGTAGGATGGCATCATGGTTGGCACAGACTTGGTGGGCTGAAGAGCTTGTTCTTGTGCTGTACTGTTCTATGTATTACGTTATGAGATATGGCATTTATACTGTGAGGCCCGCCAGTTTAATTTTAATACCGTGCTCACGTTGCTAATGACTTTGTGTTCTATGTTCAACAAGCTCTTGGCCTTTCTACACCACTTCAAACAGTCGAAGCCAGTGAGACAAGTCAACAGGAGTCAAAGCAAACACAAAGGGAACAAAGACCATCCAACTGATTTCACTGTCCTTGGAGAAACATGATTCTCGCCTCAAATATTCTTGGGATCAGTGAGTGGGAATCTCATTTTCATTTATCGTTGAGTTACAGAGGGACTGATGTTATTTCAATGGAATGTAGAAAAGCACCAGTTTAATTGCACTGAGTCAGAGGGATCTATATCAGTTTGGTAAGTGGTTTTTGATTTGGTGCAGATGCGATGGGCTGAATTTGTTTTTCTATTCATTTGTGGAATATGGGTGTTGCTGTCTGGCCAGCATTTCTTGTCCATCCCTAGTTGCCCCTTTGAGAAGGTGGTGGTGAGCCGCCTTCTTGAACCACTGCTGTCTACCAGCTTTAGGTCAACCCCCAGTGCCATTAGGGAGGGAATTCCAGGATTTTGACCCAGTGACAGTGAAGGAATGGTGATATATTTCCAAGTCTGGATGGTGAGTGGCTTGGAGGGGAACTTGGAGGTGGTGGTGTTCCCATGTGTCTGCTGCCCTTGTTCTTCTAGATGGAAGTGGTCGTGGGTTTGGAAGGTGCTGCCTGAGGATCTTTGGTGACTCTCTGCAGTGCATCTTGTAGTTGGTACACACTGCTGCTACTGAGCATCGGTGGTGGAGGGAGTGAATGCTTGTGGATGTGGTGCCAATCAAGTGGGGGCTGCTTTGTCCTGGATGGTGCCAAGCTGCTTGAGTGTTTTTTGGGCTGCACTCATCCAGGCAAGTGGGGAGTATTCCATCACACTCCTGACTTGTGCCTTGTAGATGGTGGACAGGCTTTGAGGAGAAAGGAGGTGAGTTACTCGCCGCAGTATTCCTGGTTTCTGACCTACTCTTGTAGCCACTGTTTTTATGTGGTGAGTCCAGTTGAGTTTCTGCTCAATGTTAACACTCAGGATGTTGAGAGTGGGGAATTCAGTGATGGTAACACCATTGAATGTCAGGGGGTGGTGGTTAGATTGTCTCTTGTTGGTGATGGTCATAGCCTGGCATTGGTGTGGTACGAATGTCACTTGCCACTTTCGACCCAAGCCTATCTTGTTGCATGTGAACATGGACTGCTTCAGTCACAAATGGTGCTGAACATTGTACAGTCAGTCATCAGCGAACATCCCCAATTCTGACCTTATGATAAAAGGAAGGTCATTGATGAAGCAGTTAAAGATGGTTGGGCCTAGGACACTCCCTGAGGAACTCCTGCAGAGATGTACTGGAGCTGAGATGATTGACCTCCAACAACCACAAGCATGACCATCTTCCTCTGTGTCAGGTACGACTCCAGCCACCGGAGAGTTTGCCCTCTGATACCCATTGATTCCAGTTTTGCTCAGGCTCCTTAATGCCACACTTGGTCAAATGTAGCCTTGATATCAAAGGCTGTCACTCTCACCTCACCTCTGGAATTTACCTCTTTTGTCCATATTTGAACCAAGGCTGCAATGAGGTCAGGAGCTGAGTGGCCCTGGCGGTACCCAAACTGGGCATCACTGAGTAGGTTATATCTGAGCAGGTGCTGCTTGATGGTACTGTTGATGATGCTTTCCATCACTTTATTGATGATTGAGAGTAGACTGATGGGGTGGTAATTGGCTGGGTTGGATTTGTCCTGCTTTGTGTACAGGACATCCTTGGGAAAATTTCAACATTGCCAGGTAGATACCGGTGTTGTAACTGTACTGGAACAGCTTGGCGAGGGGAGTTCTAGAGCACAAGTCTTCAGTACTGTTGCCGGAATGTTGTCAGGGCCTGTAGCCTTTGCAGTATCCAGCGTCTCCAACTGTTTCTTGATATCACGTGGAGTGAATTGAATTGGTTGAAGACTGGTATCTGTAATGCTGGAGACCACTGGAGGAGAGGCCGAGATGGATCATCCACTCGGCGGATCTGGCTGAAGATTGCTGCGAATGCTTCAGCCTTATCTTTTGCGCTGATGTACTGGGCTCTTCCATCATTGAGGATGGGGATATATGTGGAGCCTCCTCCTCCAGTGAGTTGTTTAATTGTCCACCACCATTCACGACTGGATGTGGCAGGACTGCAGAGCTTAGATCTGATCCGTTGGTTATGGGATCGCTTAGTTCTGTCTTATCACTTGCTGCTTCTGCTGTTTGGCATACAATTAGTACTGTTTGGTGGCTTCACCAGTTTGATACCAGCTGTATAACACTGTGCTGCCACCTCTGCTGGGTCTGTCCTGTCCGTGGGACTGGACATATCCAGGGATGGTGATGGTGGTGTCTGGGACATAGTTCTGCTTACAGAATATGTTACAGACAACGTCAGGCTGTTGTTTACTAGTCTGTGAGACAGCTTTCCCAATTTTGGCACTAACCCCCAGATGTTAACGAGGAGGGCTTTGCAGGGTTGACAGGGCTATTTCTGCCATGGTCTTTTCCGGTGCCTAGTTCGATGCCAGGTGATCCATCCGGTTTCATTTCTTTGAGATTTTGTAGCGATTTGTACAACTGAGTGGCATGCTAGGCCATTTCAGAGGGCAGTTGAGAGTCAACCACGTTGTTGTGGGTCTGGAGTCACATGTAGGCCAGTCCAGGTGAGAGCAGATTTCCTTCCCTGAGGACATTAGTAAACCAGATGGGATTTTATGACAATCACCAATTTCATGGTGATCAGTAGATTCTCAATTCCAGGCTTTAATTATTGAATTCAAATTCCACCATCTGCTATGGTGAGATTCGAACCTGGGTCCCCAGACCATTCGCTAGCCTTTTTTCTGTGGGCTGTCAATCTCTATGACTCGGTGCAGTAAGCCTTGTGCTTCTTTTTGATTTGTTTGAATGTGTGTGATGGAACTGTTTGTTGAATCCTGGTGATTCCTGATGCTAACCTTTAGGTTTTATAGCAGGTTAAACGACTGACTCTTAAGGTGCAAATTCTAGTTGGAAAAACAGTAACATTGGACAAATGCAGGAGGGAGTTACACATTCTTTTGTCACAGAGTCACACAAATCGACAGCACAGAAAAATATATAAAAAACAACCACCTAACTGACCTAATGCTGTTTTTCCAGCACTTGGCCCATGGCCTTGGTATTGCAAATGTACATGGAAATACTTCTTAAATATTTGCTTCCTCAGTAAGTCGACCCTTTTCCATTTCACTCTAATCATCTAGCCCTGCTTTAACCTTGACTGGTGATCTTTTTACAGGCTCCACCCTCTCACTTTCCGTCTGTAATCAGCCTGCTGTCTGCCTTTTGTTCCCCTTGTACCCTTTCCTATTTACACTTGTTTTCTCTCTCTCTGATGCCCTCAATATTTTCTGTTGCTCTACATTTAACCAAAGGTGTCTTTGTTAAGAGATATTCAAAATGTGGACTTATAGTTGTCTTTTGCTGAGAAGAGACATACATTTTAGAATTTGTGAGAAAAATCAAAGACATTTGCACTTGGTTTCAGATTCTGAATATTTGAAAAGTAGAATGAATAGAACATAGGACATTCAGCGATTCAACCCTTCAAGCCTGTTCCACCATTCAATGGGGTCATGGTAGATCTGTAGCCTAACTCCACATACCAGCCTTTCCCTCAATGCCTTTGCTGAACAAACATTTATCTATTTTACGTTTTTGACATGGCAACAAAGTAGGTACTTTTATACATTATTTTTCTCTCTAGAACAGGTAAAACATAGAGCAGGAATGAATGTCAGCTCTGTAACTCTGGATAACTGGCTGGATCTTATGCTTTTATATCGCAAAGAGTAGGAATAACTACAGTCAATATTCTCAAATCATTCACTGGTCTATTTTTCCTGAACTTTAAATGCAAGTTTCATCAAGCAGCATTGGAAAAAGATTAAATTCGTTGTTAAAGCAAATCTTCGCAAATCCAAACAAAATTGAACAGATGGACGTTGTTGAAGGATTTTAGTTCCTTGGTTTTTTGAAGCTTTTATTGTACTGTCATAGAGATCTACAGCGCAGATAAAAGGCCCTTCAGCTCATCACATCTGTGCCAGTCACAAACAACCACCGAACTATTCTAACCTCCATTTTCCAGCACTTGGCCCATAGCATTGTCTGCCTCGGCATCACTAACGTACATCGAAATCCTTCTTCAATGTTTGGAGGATTTGGACGGGTTATAATAGGCCGTAAAGAAGCAGAGCTGGAAGAAATGCTTGCAACTGAATGATACAGTTGATGTAGCTCACTGGCTGGATTTATACCCAAATACTTGTTTTGTACTCTGCAGAGTAATGTCACTGTATTGAATACCAAACATTCCACAGGACATGGGTTCAGCTTTCACCACCACAGCTTCTCGAATTTCACAAAGTCTGAAATAAATGGACCTCCAATGGTGACCATTTAGCAAATGACAATTGGTCGCTTAATCTGGCTTCCCTTTAAGGAAATAAATCTGCCGTCCTAATGTGGCATTGCTACAGATTCTCAGGGTAGTGGTAGTATACCTGCCTCTGAGCCAGGAGGCACAGGTTCAAGTCCCACATGCTCTAGGGTCCTATGCTAGCAATTCGAATGAGTTAACTAGAAAATATCAACTTGGGTTGGCCAAGTTAAACACAGCATTGTGATCAACATTTATATGCATCTTGATCAATCTCAGCCTGCTTGCAGAGTTAGCAGATATGACAGTGAGAAATGCTGGTCACACATTGTGGCCTTGTAGGGCAGTCTCTGATAAGATTCAAATAACCATATTTTTAATTAGCTCCTGAAATTGCCGCTCCCCAAGCCAAGCTCTTCCAGTGCAGCAACAGCACTGGCAATTTTTCCACCTTGTACAGGCATTTATCCTACACAACAAAGCAAGGATAAATCCAACCCAAACCAATTGCTGCCCCAACAGTCTACTCTTGATCATCAATAAAGCGATGGAAGGCATCATCAACAGTGCTATCAAGCAGCACCTGCTCAGCAATAACCTGCTCAGTGACGCCTAGGTTGGGTTCCACCAGGCCCACTCAGCTCCTGACCTCATTACAGCCTTAGTTCAAGCATGGACAAAAGAGCTGGATTCCAGAGTTGAGGTGAAAGTGACAGCCCTTGACATCAAGGCTGCATTTAACCAAGTGTGGCATCAAGAAGTCCTAGAAAAATTGGAATCAATGGGTATCAGGGAGAAATCGCTGGTGGTTGGAGTCATACCCAGCACATAGCAAGATCATCATGCTTGGTGGTCAGTCATCTCAGCTCCAGTTCCTCAGGGCAGTGTCCTGGGCCCAACCATCTTCCGCTGCTTCCTTCCATCATAAGGTCAGAAGTGGGGATGTTCGCTGATGATTGCACAATGTTCAGTACCATTCATGACTCCTCAGATGCTGAAGCAGCCCGTGTTCAAATGCAACAAGATCTGAACAGTATGCCAAGTGGCAAGTAGCATTGATCCCGTACAAATCAAAAGCAATGACAATTCCAAGAAGAGACAATCTAACCACCCCCTCTTGACGTTCAACCGCGTTACCATTACTGGATGTCCCAATATCAGCATCCTGGGGGTTACCAGAAACTGAACTGGATTCATCATATAAATATACAGTGGTTACAAGAGCAGGTCAAAGGCTGGGAATCCTGCAGCATGTAACTCCCCCTGACACACCCAAGCCCTGTCCAGCCTGGACAAGGCACAAGTCAGGATTGTGATGGAATAGTCTCCAGTTGCCTGGATGGCTGCAGCTCCGACAACACTCGAAAAGCTCAACACTCTGTAAAACACAAGGACACCGACTTAAACTTGGTGTTCAAAATCTGTTGTTCATAACGTCTTGTTAGAAACAGCTGGGATTTGGAGGGTTATGAATACTTTGAATTCACTGTGTTATCAATCCATGATAGTGATTTGATGTGGCTCACTGTCCCGGTGTCACAACAACTGTCACACTCAGAACTAGAAGAGGCATTCTATAGATGAAACAGAACGTATGATTTTTTTCTCTTGTGTTTCCTAAGAGTGGAAGATTTAAAGTTGGTCTGATCCAAACTTCTATATTATTTCATGGGATATGTTGTGAGAAGATATTTCACTGCCTTGTGAGAACACAGAACATTATGACAGATTCCAATGTTGGCATTTTAACTATACAACAGTGAATTTAATAGTACATCCATGTAGAAAAGTTTGAAGACATGAACAGTACTCATTGTCAAATTTAGTGTGATACATGAAGGCAATCTTAGATTGAGAGATCTATAGAAACGAGCTGATGACAATTTGCAAAAAATGGAGTATGGTTACTTTCAAATGAAATATAAGAGGGGCCATGTAAAATGTTGCACTAATGAATCAGTACAAACCATTTGATTTGGATGGAGTTCTTTTCCTCCTAATGTTATAAACTAACTGACAATTATGTAGTGGATAAATTTGAACTATGAGAATTGATGGCTTCCAAACAATTAGAATGCAAAAATGCAAAATTGTTGACATTCAATTTTATATTTCATTCTGCAGTTTATCTCCATACAATGGTTGGACAATACACAGATGGTGAGTATATTAGTCTCTGCCATTTCCCATGTATTTCACAATGCTGAATCGAATTGTGCTGCTGGTACCATAGTTAGAATCTTTACAATATAGTGAGTTGCCAGACCCATTATTTGCATTCTCTGTAACCTTTGGATTTTGTTATTTATCTGCAAAGTGGCTATTTCCGTTTTTTCCTCTCCAGCAATAATGACTCTCGTTTTGATGTTGAGGTCAGTTGGCTCGCCGAGCTGGTTTGTTGTTCCGCAGACATTTCATTTAAAGACCAGGTGGGAAAACACACTGACGCTTCATCGGAGGCAAAACTGATGATGTTACCCAGCAGGGTAATGAAACATCTGTGGAACAACAAACCAGCTCGGCAAGCCAACCAACCTCAACACCCACAACCCGAGCTACAAATCTACTCCAAAACTTTAGACTCTTGTTTGAGTTTATTAATAACTTAAGTTACTAAATTAAAATGACTTTGTTGCACTGTATTAGAAGCTGATCAGTTACTGGAATAACTGCACAGAGGTCAGTGTCCCATCACCAAGTCACCCTTTATTTACTAGTGCACAGTACACTAGCTGTGGCCAGCCAGCTTGTAGTCAGTCTTCAACTGACGAGATTTTAATCTCCTGGTTATATTGGTCAGCCAAGGCTTTTGCTGATTGGCCCAGGTTAACAACTTCAACCAAGAACCTCATTGTTAACAAAGTCCATCTGGTCTCAGCCACTATATCTGTTCCCCACCTAAGTCTCTGGATGTAGGCCTGGTCTTTCACTTGTAGCTTCTCTTGTGATGTTGCAGTCCCAGGTCGGGTTCCTCTGACTTGGACTCAGACACACGTGGTGTGGACTGGACTGTAGTCCGTCTCTTGCATCCGGAGTGTCTCAGAAGAATGTCTTCATCCAGCAGCAATGGTATCAAGACTGCACCCATTTCGGATGCTGGGGTTTCTTTGACACAAGTCCGAGGTGGGGAAGCACCTGCAGTTTCTGCTGGGTTCCTCGGGCTGTTCTGAGGGGCCAGGTATATTTTGTTCTTGTCCTGTTTACGAAGTAATGGATTTCACCTGTTTGTTCTGGACTGTATCACTACCTGATCTTTGTAAATCATGGGATCGGATCTCACATCAATATGGCCCTGTGTGGGTATGAGGCAATTTCCATGGTTCTGGCACCAAACTTCATCCCCTGAATTAAATTGTCTCTCTCGCTTAGAGGAGGCATGTGTCTGGTATTGGCATTCCTGCTGCCATTTCACCCTACCGCCCCCACCCCGCCCAGCTGCCCCAGCTCTGGAAGTGTCTCCCCATCAGCAACTTTGCTGGAGCTACCCCTGTTGTTGAATATGGGGTGGTCCTATAATCAAACAGAAACCAGGGCAGTTTGGTCTCAATTGATGCTAGTAGCTGCTTCTTTAAGCCTGTCTTTAATGTTTGGACTGCTCTTTCCACTAGAGAGTGTTGGATGACAGATGGTATGGAGCTGTCCTTATGTGCTGAATACTGTTGGACTTTAGGAAATATGCAAATTCCCTGCAGATAAAATGACATCTCATTGTCCTTGACCAATAGTTCCAGGAGTCCTTGTATTGTGAACAATGCTCACAGCTTCTCATTCATTATCCCCGAGTTTGCTGAAAAAGCTTTATGCATGTCCAACCGCTTTGAATGGGTGTCCACAATGACCAGGGACATTGAAACCATGAAAGGACTGGCATGGTCAACACATAGCTGAATCCAGGGTTTACCCAGCCATTCCTATGAATGGAGGTGGGGGGAGGCGGGGTGAGGGTTGCTGCTGGTGGCAATTTTAATCTTTGTTGGCACTTTGGGCACTGCTCCAATCTCCAATACAGCTGTGTTGGCATCCAAGCCTGGCCACTAGACAGGTTCTTGCATTACATCTTTCTCTTAGAAACCCTTGGATGACCCTCATGGAGTGTGGCCAATACCCGGTGGCAACCTTTACTCAGGGCAATCAATTTTGCTCCCTATAGTAATATTCCATCCTCTATAGTGACCTGGTCTTGCCAGGACCAAAAAGGTTTCAATCGTGTTTGCAATGGCCCTTCTGTTTCCCCTCTTACCACCAGCTGTCTCACTTTCACTAAGACAGGATCTTTGTGTCTACAGTCAGATATTGTCCACAGTGACTGGAACACTGGAACAGAATCCAGAAAGTTTAAAACCAAAATGGGCTCTTCCAGGGGAGGCATCACTGGAGTATCTGTCAGTGGGAGGTAGCTTATGGCATCCTCATTAACCGCTTGGCTTCCTTCTAACTTGTACGCACTAGGAATAAAGGCCCAACACTGAACTCTACTGGAAGCCATGGGCAGCAATGCATTGCCTTTCTTCAGTAGTCCTAGCAGGGGTTTGATCTGAAACTGACAAATTTCTGTCCGTAAAAGTGCTGATGGAAGTGTCTCATGCTAAAGGTGACCACCCAACCTTCCTTTTCAATCTGGCCATACTTCTATTCAGCATCAGTCTGGGAAGTATACACAAGCAGGCATTCTTCTCTGTTGGGCCACAGGTGAGCCAACATGGGGAAGACATCGTATGTCAACACTGCCTCTTGCTTTGGATCATAACAGGCCAACACTTTAGACGACAAAAGCTGCTTTTTCACTTCCTAAAGACTGCTTCTTGGGTTTGTGACCATTTCCAAGGCTGACCCTTTTTCAATAGCAGGTGTAAGGGTGCCAAGGTGGAGGCCAGGTTACATATGAATTTTCTGTTATAGTACACTAACCCAAGGAAAGACCTGAGCTCTGGTGCAGACATGGGAGCTAGAGCTCCTTTGATCACCCTCACTTTCTCTTCCAAAGGGTGTAACCCAGTTTTGTCAGCTCTAACCTTAAGTAGGTCACTTGGGGTGCCTGGAACACATTTTCTGTCTAATGCAAATGCCTGCCAGGGAGAAATGTTTAAGCACTATGTCAGAGTTCTCCAAATGCTCTTTATTGGTCTTCCCTGTCATTAGCATGTCATCCAGATCAATGGCAACATGGGATCAGCCTTGTAAAATGTTTTCCCTCATCTGCTGGAAAAGGGCACAGGCAGATGATGGTCTTGTATATTGATATAAACCCTCAAGGGTAATAATTGTAATAATTGCAGCATACTTCTGGGACAGCTCATCCAGTCACAATTGCAGGTAAGTGTGGCTCATATCCAGCTTTATAAAGGATAAAGGACAGCAACCCTGGCCAATTTTGTGTACAAGTTCTATAAGAGGGATTGATATTTATTCAGCTGCGAGAGGCTGTTGACTGTTTGCTTGAAATCCCCACAAAGGTGAACCAAGCCATCAGGCTTCGCAATAGGTATGACTGGTGCTGCCCATTCTGCAAACTACACTGGTTTGAGGATTCCTCGCTTTCCAGCCTCCTGATTTCAACCTTTACTTTTTTCCATAAATAGAATGGCACTGGGCGAGCCATGCAAAATCTCAGAATTGCATCCTGGTCAACATGTAAAGTGGCTTGGCCCCTTGGATAGTCCCAAGTGCTTCTTGAAAAACTCTTTGGTATTTCACTAGGACTTCACAGAGGCAGCCAATTTTCAATTGAAAAATGTTGAACCAATCAAGGTGAATCTTTCTCAAACAATTCTGCCCCAGTAGTCTTGGGCCTGATCCTTTTACCACCAGAGATAACTACACCAACTGCTTCTCATAGGAGATTGGAACTGAAGTCGTACCCTTAATCTGCAATGGCTCCCCAGTGTATATGCTCAGCCTGGCTGAGGTCTTGTGCAAGCTTAGAGGTTGGAGTCCCAAGTGAATCTTGGGAAAGACAGATTGTGCAAACACAGATACAGCTGTGCTGTTATCAACCTCTATGGGAACTGGGTGACCATTTAACCAAATGTTTATTTTAAATTGGCTCCAATGTGGATGTTCATAAGCAATTTAATTACTCCAACCCACATGTAGGGAACTTGCCAGGGTATTATCCTGATTTTTCCTACTCAAGTCAGGCCTTGGACTTGCTGGCATCTTGAATCCACAGCTGGAAGCGACTATGAGGACTTGCTGCCCCAGATCCTGAAGAACAGGCTTGGCTCTGCTCAGGACATGCCCTGCATGAGACTCTGCAATTGCTTCCACTCATGGTGTTCCCCAAGCTCAGTTGGGCAGGTGAGGGTGTCCACTTCCATTGGGATGCCCTGTTCTTCCCATGCTACACTTGCCACATTTTCTAATGACAATGCCAGTTGTAGTGCCTGTTTGAAATCCAATTCAACATCAGCTAGTAGGTACTCCTGCATGGTTACATCATTAATCCCACATACCAAACAATCTCAGCATCTCATTCAGGGTTAACACAAAATCACATGCCTGTTTATCATTGTAACCTCAAATCCTGATAACCTTAGTTTCCCTCGGTTTTCTAACCACCAGATAAAACCAATAGTGTCTCAGGATTAGAGGTGGTTTTAGGGTCATATTATTCCTCAACCAACTGTCAACTCTCGTAAGGTTTTAATGTCTGGTGCCTCTGGGAAAGTTAAGGCCCTTATAACCAAAAATGCTGCAGGTCCACATACAGCTAGAAGGATTACTCATTTTGTCTGTCCCAATGCCATTTGCCCAGAAAAAAAAAGTCTTTACACATACTGGGCCCAGTCTTCAACAGCAGGGTAAAATGAGTCAAGCTTCCAAAATAAAGGCATAACCCAGAAATACTTACTCCAAATCCAAGATAACAGATGCAAGCAAATGTTCTTCAGGCACATACATTTTTCCTGTCATCACTAAAATAACTACAGAGGCCAGTGTCTCATCACCAAGTTTCCCTCACAATCCACTGACTCCAAGCTTGCTGGCTACAGTCAGGAGATTCTAAACTCCTGGTTAGATGTTTGTTTATTTTAGTACACAATACTGTCTGTGGTCAGCCAACTTGGAGTCAATCCTCAACTGAGGAAATTCTAATATCTTGGTTATGCTTCATTAAACTATAATAAAGTACAAAACAAAATCAAGGTAACAGTCAACAGAGCAAGCAACAATTTACAGGGAAATTAGGGACAGAAACCAAACTCCAAATCCTACCATAAAACTTACTAAGGAAAAAAACTTTATACAGAAGTACACACAAGATGAAGCCATACAGAATAAAAACAATATATGCAACACTGACATCCCTGGCAAACCAGCAATCACCCTCACCTTCCAACCACCTCCTAGACAGCCTACTCCCACACACCTTCCAGTTCTCAGCACACCACTACACATTTTCCAGCTCCTAGTCCATCCCTAGTCACCTTCCAACCACCTCTAGGACTACCTATCCCTATGCCTTCTTAGGACAGCAGTTTTCAGGTCAGCCTGAACACCTTCCAACATTCAGGGCAACAACTTTCAGGACAACCTATGCATCATACAGCTTTCAGAACAACCCACTCACCTTCCAGCTCTCAGTAAAGCCTGCTAGACTCAGGGACACAGTTCACACAAACAACCCAAACATCAAGGGCCAAGTCCATTACCAAAGGCAGCAAGCACACACCTCACAGCATACATACAGATACCCAGTCCATCATTGAGGCCTGGTCCACTTGCAGAACCACAGCAGGCTCCCAAAGGACAGCACTACACTCAAGGATCCTGTCCAACACAGAGGCCTGGTCCCTCCTGGTTATATTGGTCAGCCAAGGCTTTCCTGATTGGCTCAGGTTAACAACCTCAATCAAGAACCTTGTAGTTAGCAAGGTCCAGCTGGTCCCAATCACTGCAGTTACTGTGTACATTCTGCGTTTGAAAGGGGTGCACTAATGGTCTGACATGAATTTGATGCAAGTTGTGTGATGTACGTACATTTTAATATCATTTATTTTCCATTTTTGAATGTGAACTGATGACATATGGGTTTTCTGTACGTTAGCCAGGGTTTAATGCTTAACTTTGAGATGTGTATGTAGCCAGGCTGCTTGCTTTCAAAAACAATGTGCGAGAGAGACTTCCTGAAGTGCAGTGGGTTACTGTTTACACTGGGAGGTTTGGAGTATGAGCAAGTTGTATCGTAGTGAATTAGGCTTCCAGATAGAAGATTTTGGATTTTATTTTTATATTGGACTCTGAAGAAACATGGAAGAAGACTATTTAGTTTCAGTGCAGCAGAATGCAGGAATATTATCTGTGTGTACCGAACAGCTTCTGTAAATGAGAGAGGGAGAGTTTAGAATTCTTAAACATAGCGTATCTTAGTTCAGTTCAGGCATTCAGGTAAAGTTCCAAATCAGAAGTGTTTGGAGGGAGGAGATGGCCAAGTGGCAATATCACTAGACTATTAATCCAGAAACTCAGCTAATATTCTGGGGACCCAATTGTTGGAAAAACCCATCTGGTTTATGAATGTCCTTCAGGGAGAGAAACTGCCACCCTTACCTAGTCTGGCCTACATGCGACTCCAGACTCACAGCAATGTGGTTGCCTTTCAGCTACCCTCTTAAAATGGTCTTACAAGCCATTCCATTGTACCAATCGCTACAAAGTCGCAAAGAAATGAAACCAGTCAGATCACCTAGCATTGACTTAGGCACCAGGAAAGACAATGGCAGAAACAGCCCTGTCGACCCTGCAAGGTCCTCCTCACTAACATCTGGGGGCTCGTGCAAAATTGGAACAGCTATTTCACAGACTAGTTAAGTAAAAGCTTGATGTATTGTGGTTGATTGGTTCGCCGAGCTGGTTCATTGTTCTGCAGATGTTTCATTACTCTGCTGGGTAACATCATCAGTGCACCCTCCGATGAAGCTCTGTTGTGTTTTCCCGCCTGTTATTTAAACTCTGGGGTCTGTTGAGCTGGATTACCTAATTTCCGGCTTTCCTGACATAGTCATACTCACAGAATCATACCTCACAGACAATGTCCCAGACATAACCATCACCATCGCTGGATATGTCCCATCAGAGGTGGCAGCACAGTGGCATACTGTCAGGAGGGTGTTGCTCTGGGAGTCCTCAATATTGACTCCGGGCATAAAGTCTCATTGTTTCAGGTTAAACATAGGCAAGGAAACCTCATGCTGATTACATGTATCATCCTCCCTTGGCTGATGAATCAGTACTCCTCCATGTTGAGCAACATTTAGAGGAAGCACTGAGGATGGAAGGGCACAAAATGTACTCTGGGTTGGAGATTTCAATGTCCATCATCAAGAGTGGCTCAGCAGCAGTACTACAGATTGGGCTGGTCGAGTCCTAAAGGACATTGCCGCAGGCCAATTCTAGCATCTGGTGGTGAGGGAACCAACAAGAGGGAAAAAGATATTTGACCTCATGCTTACCAATCTGCCAGCTGTAGATGCATCTGTCCATGACAGTATCAGTAAGAGTGACCCCCACACAGCCCTTGTGGGCAAAGTTCAGCCTTCACATTGAGAATAACCTCCATCGTATTGTGTGGCACTATCACCGTGCTAAATGTAACAGACCGAGCAACTCAAACCTGGGCTTCCAAGAGGTGCTATGGGCTATCTCCAGCAGCAGAAATGTATTCCAGCACAATCTGTAACCTCATAGCCCGGCATACACCCCACTCAACCATTACCATCAAGCCAGGGAATCAACCGTGGTTTAATGGGGAGTGCAGGAGGGCATGCCAGGAGCACCAACAGGTATACCTAAAATGTGATGCCAATCTGGTAAAGTACCACATGGGATTACTTGCACACTGAACAGCATAAGCAGCAAATGTTTGAAAGAGCTAAGCGATCCCACAACCAATGGATCAAACCTAAGCTCCTCAGTCCTGCCACATCCAGTCATTAATGGTGGTGGACAATTAAACAACTCACTGGAGGAGGAGACTCTACAAATATCCCCATCCTCAATGATGGAAGAGCCCAGCACATCAGTGCAAAAGATAAGGCTGAAGCTTTCGCAGCAGTCTTCAACCAGAAGTACTGAGTGGATGATCCATCTCGGCCTCCTCCAGTAGTCCCTAGCATTACAGATACCAGACTTCAGCCAATTCCATTGACTCCACATAATATTAAGAAATTGGTGGGAGATACTGGATACTGTAAAGCCTACAGGCCCTGACAATATTCCGGTAATAGGACTGAAGGCTTGTGCTCCAGAACTTGCTGCTCCCCAGACAAGCTCTGACATTTTTCGGCAATTTCTGTTTTTGTTTCTGATTTCCAATATCTGCAGCTCTTTTGTTTCATAAAAAAAATACAAAACCTGAACTCTCAAGCCAGATTCCAGTCTGGTCTCTTACTTGTCGAGTAATTTCACCAGCTCAAAAGATAACAATTAGTGTAATTTGTCCTGATTTTCAAATTCATTAGATTAAAATGGATATGCCCTATTCTTTTTTGATTGTGGTTCTGGACACAGAGCAGTTGTGTTGTGGCAAAGTTTACAGATAAATGATGTTTATTGTAAGAATGAAGGCTGCCAATGATGACCATCATGATGGCGATTGTAAGGATGACAAAAATATTTATTATGTAATTTAATTCATACTATCCTATTTAGAACGTTTCTATGTGTGTTTCCAGACAGATTACCGAAACCAACATTAACTCACATTCCAGCCTTCAGAGTCTTCTTACCAGGAGAATCAATAACCTTGAATTGCTCCTGTAAAGCTCCCACCATGAGGATTCACTACAACAGAAATGGACACAATTGTCACTACAAGGACACTGATGCGAAACAGAGTGAAAAATATCACAAAGTCACAGCAGGGAGGGAAAATATGGAGACTTACAGTTGTGAATGTTTACTCAGTGAGAATGGGCAATGGGTTTACTCAGGGCACAGCAACCAGGTTCACCTAAACATTCAAGGTACGTGGCTAAAATACATGACATCATTAACATTTGTTATATTTTGGGTGTTGTTCAGGTATCAAAAGTTCAAATCTTAATGTTACAAATGGAAAAATACTCATTCTGTGACTTTTTTTAACCAGAATACAAGGAGATTCAGGAAGAAATTATTATCATGCTATGATAATCTATCCTGAAGTACTTTGAAGTTTGTTTCAGTCAAACGTAACCAGCTCACTATTCTCTAATTCCCATTTCCCAGCACTTGGCCCCGTAGCCTTGGAATTGCAGGTTCACACCTAAATCCTTCTTCAATATGATGAGGGTTTCTGTCTTTCCCACCCTTACAGGCAGTGAGTTACAGATTCCCCACCCCCATCTGGGTGAAAATGTTTTACCTTATTTCCCCCTCTAAATCTCTTGTCCCTTACCTCCAATCTAGCTCCCCCCACCGCAACCTTCAGTATTTGATCCCTCCATCAAGGGGGAAAGGTTTCTTCCTGTCCACCCTATCTATGCTGCTCATCATTTTACACATCTCAGTCATGTTGCCCACCCCCTCCCATCTCCTCTGCTCTCAGGAAAACAACCTGGCTGATCCCATACTTGTCTCATCCACTCCCCTGTCCATTTCCCGTAATTCTTGATTTCCCCAACTGATGAAGAATCTATCTATCCAGCCATAAATATACACAAGGAATCTGTACCCCACACAGGTGTCTGTAACAAGGAGTTCCAAAGCTTCACAATCCTCTGAGAGAAGAAATTCCTCCTCATCTCAGTCTTCAATTGGCAACCCTTTATTCTGAGACTGTGCCCTCAGGTCCTAGACTCTCTCATGAGGGGGAAACATCCTCTCAGCATTGACCTTGTCAGGCCCCTATACGTTTAAATGAGATCACTTCTTATTCCTCTAAACTCCGGTGGATTAGAATCACAATGTGTTTGGCCTTTGCTCATAAGATAATCCTTCCATCCCAGGAGAACTCTAGTGAACATTCTCTGAACTGCTTCCATGAAATGACATCTTTCCTCGAAGGAACAAAACTGCTTACAGTGCTCTAGATGTGGTCTCCCCCAGCACCTTGTACATTTGCAGTAAGACTTTCCTACTCTTACACTCCACCCCTTGAAAGAAGGGCCAATATTCCATTAGCCTTCCAACTGATAAGTGGGAGCTATGCTGTGCTTCCTTCACTGTGGGTCAGATATATCATCTATGAAATAATCTGTACAGACACTTCAACCACTTTATTACTCAAAAACTAGGTTTACCCAGGCACTGTCACTGTATGAGACAAACAAAGGATTGTAATTCAAGATTAATTTTGTTGAAGCACTCACAGTTTAAAGGAACGGCTTTTACACAAATTAAGTTAACTTTTCATAAACTAGGCTGACTGCCTGAAAAAAAAACACACTTTACCTGCTCTGCTGAACTTGATTGAGATACATGGATCCAATTCCCTGAGCTCTGTCTACAGGACACTCTGGGTCTTCTTAGTCTGAAGGTGGATCTCACACGGAGCCTTCGCTGAGGGAATGATCATCAGTTGTCATTTTGTATCTCCATAAACCTCCTCTTTCAGAACCCTTCTCAGGCTTACTGGCTCAGGAATGATGTGATTGCACTGGAGACGGTTGTAGAGGAGTTTCACCAGGATGTTGCCTGGGATGGAGCATTTCAGCGATGAGGAGAGGCTGGATAAGCTCGGGTTGTTTTCTTTGGAGCAGAGAAGGCTGATAGAGGTGTGTAAGATTATGAGGAGCATAGACAGGGGAGATAGGAAGCAGCTGTTCCCCTTAGTTGAAGGGTTAATAACAAGGGGGGCATCACTTTAATATAAAAGACAGGCGATTTTAGATGGGGATTTGAGGATTGTTTCACCCAGAGGTTGGCGGGGTCTGGATTGCACTGCCTGGAAGGGTAATTGAGAAGATAAACCTTCCAATTACATTTGAAATGTCATAACTGTGAGGCAAATGCTGGAAAAGTGGGATAGTGCAGGTTGTAGCGGATTTTTAACGGCACAGTCTGAATGGGCTGAGGGGCTCCTCTATGCAGTACGATTCTATGATTCTGACTCGCTTCATACAATTTCATGTCAGTTTCTTTTTCTAAAATTTTGTTAATATTGTTACAGATCACCCCATAGCCCCGAGTATCTCAATGGATCCATTCGATGGTGTGGTTTCTGTGGGGCAGAAGGTTAAAATAACCTGCCAAGGGGAGATCCGTGCCAAAGGGGGTACATTTTACTTGCACAGAAACAAAACAGAAGCACCTGTACTTTCCCGTAACACTTCTGGCACTGAGCAAACTGTGATTTTCACCATCGACATCGGAAACAGTCAAACTGCTGGCAATTACAGATGTGAATATCAAACTGAAATTGAAGGACGGATGGCAGTTTCACCATTTAGCAATGAAGTAAAGATCATCTTCAGAGGTTGGTAGAAAGAACAATTGACACAAGGTGCACCCTTTGAATAGGCCAATGTCTTCCCCCTTCTAAACAATAAAGTCATAGATTCAGACAGCATGGAGACAGCCCTTTGGCCCATGACAAACATGTTTCCTAAACTGAACTAGCCTCAATTGCCTGTATTTGGCCTATATTGCTCTAAACCTTTCCTATCCATATTCCTGTCTAAATGTCTTTTAACTGTTGCGATTGTACCCACCTATACTATTTCCTCTGCTAGCTCGTTCCATATGTATACCACCTTCTGTGTGAAAAAGTTGGCCCTAAGGTCCCTTGTAAATCTTTATCCTCTTACCTTAAACCTGTGCCCTCTAGTTTAGGACTCCCGGACCCTGGGGAAAAGATCATGGCTATTCACCTTGTCTCTGCCCCTCATGATTTTATAAACCTCTAAAAGGTCAACCCCAACAAGTCTCCGATGCTCCAGGGAAAAAACTCACAGCCTGTCCAGCCTCTCAGAATCCCTACAGTATGAAAACAGGCCATTCAGCCCAATGAGTTCACACCAACCTTCTGGAAAGCATCCCACCTAGACCCTACCCCATAACCCTGGCTTACACACCTAACTGACACACCTTTGGACTGTGGGAGGAAGCCAGAGCACTGACCAGTAATCCATGCAGACTGAAGGAGAATGTGCAAACTCCACACAGACAGTCACATGAGGATGGAATCAAACCTTGGCCCCTGGTGCTGTGAGGCAGTAGTTCTAACCACTGAGCCACTGCGACATCCTTTATAACTCCTTATAACTGAAACCCTTCAGTATCAAAAACATCCTTTTAAATGTTCTTTAACAACTGACCCAGCATCTACTGCTGTTTGTGGAAGAGAGTTCCAAACCTATCGCACCCTTTGTGTCTAGAAGTGCTTCCTAACATCTCTCCTGAACAGTCTGGCCCTCATTCTCAGACTATACCCTCCCTAGTTCAAGAATCTCCAACCGGTGGAAATAGTTTCTGTTTGTGTGATGGACAGATCGTGAGAATCTTTTTCCCATCGCAGACATACTCTTTCTTCCTCTCATAGCTTTTCATTTCAAGAAAACTTTCACATTGGGAATGCAGCTCTGCATTTCTGAGGGAGCCTGGAACAGATTCTCTTTTGGGAACTGTGGAGCCCACTCCTCACGTTAAAAGTAAAAAAAGAATAAAAGCTGCAAAACCGACTTACTGTAAATCCAAAGGGTCCATATTGTTTTGTAACAGCCCTGGTTGGAATGCTATTTTGTAAAGATTCCTGTGAATATTCAAAAAACTGTGACTCTTATTTTCAATGTTGAACAAGTCCATGCTGACCCTCAGAGCATCCCAACCACACCCATCCCCCTAGAACCCATCTAATCGGTACACAATGGGCAATTCAGCATGGCCTATCCACCCAGTCAGCACATGTTTGGAGTCTGTGGGAGGAAAACAGAGCACCCAGAGGAAATCTGCGCAGACAGGAGGAGAATGTGCAAACTCTACACAGACAGTCACCCGAGGGTGGAATCAAACCCAGGTCCCCGGCGCTGAGAGGCAGCAGTGTTAACTACTGAGCCACTGTGCCGCCCTCTGGTATAGTTGGCAGGATGTGATATGGATGAGAATGTGGAGAGGGATAATGATAAGTAAGTTTGCTGACATCATGAAGATTGGCCGGGTGGTTGACAGTGAGGAAGATGGTGTTAGGTTACAGGAGGATATAAATGGATTGGTCAGATGGGCAGATCAGTGGAAAATAGAGTTTAACCCTAATAACTGTCAGGTGATGCACTTTGAAAGAAGGAACAAAACAAGGGAGTACTCATTAAATGGCAGGACACCAGGAAACTCAAAGGAACAGAGGGATCTTGGGGTGCTTCTCCACAGGTCCCTGAAGGTGGCAGGACAGGTTAATAGGGGAGTTAAGAAGGCATATGGGACACTTGCCTTTATCAGTAAAGGCATACATTATAATAGCAGGGAGATGATGTTGGAGCTGGGTAGGACATTGGTGAGGCTACAGCTGGAGCACTGTGTGCAGTTTTGGCCTCTTTGATGGAAGCCAGGAAATCCATTAAGTTGTTCTGTTTTGGTAAGTTATTTGATTAGTCAGAGGATTCTTTGGGAGAAAATTGACATGAACAATCTTTTACATTGATTTACGCTGTTGCATTTTTTTTCTTTTTGTGTGTGAAATCGTATTAATTTCCTATTTTAAATCAATTCACAGAGTCGAGCACCTACTTCCCGCTGTATGCAAAGCTGGGGTGTGCAGCCGTGATACTCCTTCTACTGTTAGTCACAGTTACATGCTTCTTAATTGCCAAGAGAAGTAAGTGGTCACGAAACAGACAATTAACACATTCGGGAAAATTGTGTCGGTTCTGAAGGGAAGTTACCAACTTTAAACAACTCAAAGTTGTTAGAAATAATTGTTTTCTGAAAAAAAAAGCACTGTGCCTTGCTGATCCGAAAGGCTAATTTTGTCCTTTAGAAGTAAATGAAATAGCTTTGACAACACTTCCACAGCAATGAACTCAACAGTTCTCAGTTTACTGACTTTCCCTGTCTTTTTCTCCATGTAACTCCTTGTCAAATTAAACCACTTCATTATCAGTTCTGACAACATACAATATTAGCCTGACGTTAGGATAAAGAGGCTAGGAGGCTGGTGTTCAGCATGGAGGCCACTGACCAGTAGTGTTCTGCAGGGATCAGTGCTGGGTCCACTGTCGTTCGTCATTTATTTAAATGTTTTGGATGAAAATACAGGAGGCATGGTTCGTAAGTTTGCAGATGACACCAAAATTGGGGCAGAGTGGACAGTGAATAAGGTTAACTAAGGGATTTTGATCAACTGGACCAGTGAGCCGGGGAAAGGCAGATGGAGTTTAATTCAGATAAATGCGAGGTGTTGTATTTTGGTAAGACAAACCAGAGCAGGACTTACAAAGTTAATGGTTGGGCCCTGAGGAATGATGTCGAACAGAGAGTCCAAGGGGTGCAGGTACATAGTTCCTTGAAAGAGGTGTCACAGGTAGACAGGATGGTGAAAGAGGTGTTTAGCACACTTGCCTTCATCAGTCAGAGCATTGAGTATAGGAGTTGGGATGTTGTGTTACAGCTGTACAGGACATTGGTGAGATCACTTTTGGAGTACTCCATACAGTTCTGGTCACCCTGCTATAGAAAGGATATTATTAAATTGGAAAAGGTGCAGAAAATATTTACAATGACGTTACTGGGACTGGAGTGTTTGAGTTATAAGGAGAGGCTGGATGGGCTGGGACTTTTTCCCTGGAGCTTAGTAGGTTGAGGGGTGACCTTATAGAGGTTTATAAAATTATGAGGGGTATAGATAAGGTGAATAGCCAAGGTCTTTTCCTTGGGGAAGGGAGTCCAAAATTCGAGGGCATAATTTTAAGGTGAGGGGAAAAAGATGTAAAAGGAATCTGAGGGGTACCCTTTTCACAAAGAGTGTGGTTCATTTGTGGAACAAGGTGCCAAAGGAAATGGTAGATGCAGGTACAGTTACAACATTTAAAAGACATTTTGGACAAGTACATGGATAGGAAACATTGAGAGGGATATGGGCCGTGCACAGGCAAATGAGACTAGTTCAATTTAGGAAACCTGGTCAGCATGGACCAGCATGGACCTGTATAACTAAGTACGGGGTTTTGGCCTTAAGAACAGAAAAATAGAATATTATTTGCAGTAATGCGACAGTTTCAAATGTTAACATTGAAATAGTGTGCATCACACAGAAACGTACTGCGATAGTTAAAGGCTTTACTAATGCCATATAGCATGCATTATGCTCCTCTGCAGTTGACAATTCGACAATTGCATTGCGTGAGGAGAAAAGATCTGGACTTTAACTCCTGTCATAGAACACATTTATCTTTAGTCTTCTCTTGTTTATTTTTCATGTCTGCACAAATGATGCATGTACCTCGGAAGGACATTAGGGCAAAAAATTTACAGATGACACCAATGCATTTTGAAAAGACAAGAAAAGTGATTTATTTTCAAAGCCATAAGGGCTAGGAGTAGGAGTAGGGCCAATGGGAGCCTGCACCACCATTGAATATGATCGCAGCTGATCTCATTTTGGCCTCAACTCCACTTTTCTGCCCCTGCCCCCTTTAGCCTGTCACTGATTAAAAATCTGTCTGACTCCTCCTGCAATTTTATTCAAGGTCCCAGCATCTCCCACACACTCTTGTGGGGGGAGGTGGTGAATTCCCACAGTTTCATGACCCTTTGAGAGAAGTTATTCCTCTTCATTTTTTTTTAAATCCTCCCCAGCCCCTTGTCCTGAAATGGTGACCTCCCAATCTAGATTGTCCCACATGAGGAAACATTGTGTCTCCATCTACTTTGTTAATCCTCCCTTTAGCATCTTATATCCCTCAGCTCGATCTCCTCTCATTCTTCCAAACTCCAAAGAGTGTCGGATGAAACTACTTGATCTCTCTTCATGAGACAGATGCCTCATCTTGTTTTTTTTATTCATTGAGGGTATGTGGGCATCGCTGGCTGGACCAGCATTTATTACCCATCCCTAATTGCCCAGAGAGCAGTTAAGAATCAACCACATTGCTGTGGGTCTGGAGTCACATGTAGGCCAGACCAGGTAAGGAGGGCAGATTTCCTTCCCTAAAGGACATTAGTGAACCAGATGGGTTTTTACTGACAATTGGATTCATGGTCATCATTAGACTCTCAACTCCAGATTATTATTGAATTCAAATTCTGCCATCTGCCATGGTGGGATTTGAACCCAGGTCCCCAGAATATTACATGGGTTTACTGGATTAATAGTCCAGCGATAATACCATTAGGCCATTGTATACCCAGGAATCAATCGAGTGAATCTCCTCTGAACTGCCTCCAATGGAACTCCATCCCTCCTCAAGTAAGGGGACCAGAACATTATGCAGTACTCCAAATGTGGAAATACCAATACCTTGTACAGTTACAGAAACACTTGCTCATTCTTCTAAACTCCAGAGAGTATAGTCCAAAACTGTTCAACCTCTCTTCATAAGGGAGATCCCACTGGAATCTCCTCTGAACTGCTTCCAAATTGCTAAACAGTAGTGTGATAATTAGATACGGCTGATTATTCTTTCAGGAGGGAATCCAGGAAAAATGTGTCATGTTTGATTCATGAAATCTATATGCTGCAAAAACAAACCTGTGAAACTTTACACTATTTAATTGCAATTGTGTTTTCATTTCAGGGAAAGCAAGTTGCCAAAATACTGAGAGGTAATGGGCTCAAATTTATTCCATAAAATTAGTAGTATGAAGCAATGTTCACCAAGTGATGTGATTCACTCGATTGAACAAATTTTGGACTTAGAAGGAGAAACGAAACTTATTTTGTTCATCTTTGTTTGAGACAATAACTTTGTTTCATTTTCCAGCCCTGTGACATTCGCAAGCGGAGCAGTGATTCAAAAAAATGGTAACGTGTATGAATTTTATAGGTTCATAGAGTCATGTGGCATAGGTCCTCTGGCCCACCACGTCCATGCTGACCAGCAAACACCAAACTACATGAATAATTTGAGTTCAGCTTATTTTTACTTGATCATGGGATGGGGCAACAATGGACAAGCCATCACTTATATTCCATGTTTAACTACACTTGCCCCTTCCCCTGCACACTTGGTCTTCGGATGACTTCTTGAACCGCTGCAGTATTTGAGCCGTTCAAAGCCTACTCCCCACAACAGAAAGGCTGATTAAGAACATTGAGCTGGTGACATGAGAAGAACAGCAATAAAGCTCTGGATAAGTGTGTTACGTTGTCTTGGAGGGGCACTTGCATTTGGTGTTCATTCGCACTCCAGACTTCTGTATTGTTGGAGAGAAGGTTGTTTCTCTTCCTCCCCCCTTCCTTTTGCTTAGTGAGGTCAATCACAAGAGGGAAAGGGGTAGGAAATTCACAGGGGATTTGAGGAAAAACCTTTCCGTTCAAGAGGTGGATGAGAATCTGGAATGCACCACCTGGGAAGGCAGTGGAGGCCAGAAATGTTGAAAAAAAAATTTGGGCACCTGAAATGTTTGGGACAAGGGCAGGAAATTGGGATTAGCGTGCCTTTAGTGGTAGTTATGTCAGTGCAGACTCAGTGGGTTGAAGGGCCTTTACTGTGCTTTATGAGTCCAGGGGAGAAAGGGGCCATTTCACCCATCAGGTCTGCGCCCGCCTTTCAAAGGACATCCCACCCCCAAAGCAGCCCCATCAGTCCACATGGAGTGTTTTTTGACCATGGTTGATCTATCCAACTTGCACATTCCTGGACAGTACAGTACAATTTTTAAGCATAGCCAATCCACCTAACCTGCACGTCTTTGGACTGTGAGAGGAAACCAGAGCACTCTGTGGAAACCCATGCAGATACGGGGATAACGTAAAAACTCCACATAGACAGTCGCCCGAGGCTGAAATCAAAGAGCAAAGAACAATACACTACAGGAACAGGCCCTTTGGCCCTTGAAGCCTGCTTCACCACATTTTGCCCTTCCATACTAAAACTGACTTCAGTTACAGGACCCATATCCTTCTATTCCCTTCCTATTCATGTATTCGTCCAGGTGTTTTCTGAATGCCGCTGTGTGTCTGCTTCTGCCATCTCCTCTGGCAAAGCGTTCCAGGCACTCACCACCCTTTGTGTGAAAAACTTGCCTCGCACATCTCTATTAAACTTTCCCCAAACCTGGGTCTCTGGCACTGTTAGTCAGTCGTGCTAACCACTGGGCCACTGTGCCACCCACTGAAGCTGATTTACTGGCTGCAGAATTATTCTCCTCCATCCTATACTCGTGGATCTAGTAAATAATTAGTATTTAATTAGCAGGTCCAGTTCATTTTGTGGTCAACGTGACCCAAGAATGTTGGTCTTGGGGGATTCTGTGATGGTTATCGAAGCAAAGAAAACTATGAAGGTAAAAGAGGGAGAGCTGGCTACGATAGATTGTGTGACATCATAAAAAGACAGAGAATACAGTCAGAGTCATACAGCACTGAAACAGACCCTTTGGTCCCATTTGCCTGCATTTGGCTCATATCCCACTAAACTTTTCTTATCCACATACCTCTCCAAATGTCATTTAAATGCTGTAATTGTACCCATGCCTACCACTTTCCTCTGGTGGCTCGTTCCATCTGTACACCACCCTCTTTGAGAAAAGGTTGCCCCTTAGGTCCCTTTTAAATCTTTCTCCTCTAAACTAAGTTTTGCCCTCTAGTTTTGCATTGGCTGTCATCTTCAATAACTGTATCAGCTGATAGATTAAAGGGTCAAAGAATCATCGAGGTCTACAGCACAGAAAAAGGCCCTTCAGCACTTTGTGTCTGCCAGTCACAAACAGCCACTTCACTATTCTCTAATCCCCATTTTCCAACATGGGAACCCTTGCCTTGGCATTGTAAGTGCACATCTAAATACTTCTTCAATGCAATGTGGGTTTCTGCCTCTCCCACCCTTACGGGCAATAATTTCCAGATTCCCCACCACCCTCTGGGTGAAATCATTTTTCCTCACATCCCCTGTAAATCTCCTGCCCCTTTCCTTCAATCTATGCCCCCACCCCGGTCATTGATCCCTCCATCAAGGGGAAAATGTTTCTTCCTGTATACCTTATCTAATTTTTTTTCTTCCTGTGGTATACAGCTCAATGATTCAATGAAAATAGTTTCAGAAAATAAAATAACCAAATATATGTAACAATGTCCATTTGATTTTTTGTTTAATTAGGCATGTCTTATTTTAATGACAAGTTCTTTTTCAACACTCCTTGATCGAACATTTAAAGTTCGTTCACGTCTTTCTCCTGAATCGAGAAAATTGACAATAGTTATCCCCACTCTTTACCATATAAAAGGAATAAGATCCAGTCAGTTATCCAGAGTTGTTGATCTGGCATTTATTTCTGGTCAATTTTGTTTCCTTTAGAACAGTTAAAACAATCTATAAAGGTACTTGTCACATGTTGTCAAAGCGTATACTTTGTTGTTGTGCTATTTAATCTGAGAGAGATAAATTTTTGTTCAGCAAATATATTCAAGATTTGGACCAAAGGCAGTATATGGAGCTAGGCCACAAATCAGCCATGATCTCATTGAATGGCAGAACAGGCTCGAGGGGCTGAATGGCCCACTCCTGCTCCTATGTTCCATTCATTCTCCTTTCAAATTTTCAAAATCTGAAACCAAATGCAAATGTCTTTCTGTTTTTTTGGCAGATTCTAACATGTGTCTCTCTTCTGAGCCAGAGAGAAATGTAAGTACATATTCTGAATATCTCTGTTAACCTAAGCCACCTCTGGTTGAATATGGAGAAATGTAAAATATTGTGTATGTGAGAGCGAAAACAAGGGAAGCTGGAAAGAAAGGTACAAGGGCAACAAAAAAAATGCAGAGAGGAGAAACTGAGAATGGCAAGGCCAGAGAAGAGAATGAGTGAATGTGTGTGGGTGTTCAGGGGAGGGAGAGAGAGGGAGGGAAGCAAGACGATGGGAGTAAAATTGAGAAATTGGAAGGGGTACATACGGAGAAAGAGAGTGAAGGCTGGGACACAACAAGCAAGATGTGAAACAAGCCAGGAGGCTCATATCACACAGCCTTCCAAAAAAGTTTTGAGTTCAATCTGCCTACCTCCCCCATCCCTCAATAAAACTGCAATTACCTCAATCCCCCCCAAAAAATCTCTTGAACAGACTTTACGTTCTGCAAAATGACTGTTCACATGCCACCAAATAGATCCAGTCATGCCTCTGAGAGGAAAGAAAATAAGATAGCTATTCTGCGCTTTTTTTTAATGATTATTATTCTGGGAAACAGGATTTAAAAACCAGGATTGTTCATTCTGAACAAATCATGAACAAGAGTATTTTTTCCATCCATTCTGTTGAACTGTCATCATCTAGAAAATATTTATTTGTTAAGTAGTTTGGCATGAAAGGCTCATATTTATTTTTCACAAAAAAAAACAAAATTCCAATTAGCACATTAGTAAAAGTAAAATCTTTTCCATTTCTCCAATCTCCTTATATCATTTTTGGTGCCAAAAGTTGTTGACAACAATTTGGTTGGTCTGACTTAATGATTTAGAAAGCTTTGACATTGCTTCTGTGTTCTGTAAACAGGGCTAACGAATGTTGGCCCCTTATTTCAGGAAGGTTCCACTTTTAGAGTAAGTTTACAGATGACACAATGATAGGTGGAGGGACAGATAGTATTGAGGAGGCAGGGAGGCTGCAGAAGGACTTGGACAGGTTAGAAGAGAAGGCAAAGAAGTGGCAGATGGATTACAGAGTGGGAAAGTGTGAGGTTATGAACTTTGGCGGGAAGAATATAGGCAGAGACTCTTTTCTAAATGGGGAAAGGCTTCAGAAATCGGAAGCACAAAGGCACTTGGGACTCCTAGTTCAGGATTCTCTTCAGTTTGACAGGCAGGTTTAGTTGGCAGTTAGGAAGGCAAAGGCAATGTTAGCATTCATTTCGAGTGGGTTAAGATACAAGAGCAGAGATGTCCTGCTGAGGCTGTATAAAGTTCTGGTCAGACTGCATTTGGAATATTGTAAGCAGTTTCGGGCCCTTTATCTAAGGAAGGATGTGCTGGACTTGGAGGGGGTCTAGAGGAGGTTCACAAGAATGATCCCCGGGAGGAAGGGCTTGTCATATGAGGAGAGGTTGAGGACTCTGGATCTGTACTCCATGGAGTTTAGAAGAATGAGAGGGAATCTGATTGAAATTTACAGAATACTGAGAGGGCTGGATAGAATGGACATGGGGAAGATTTTTCCATTACTTGCAGAGATTTGGAGCTGAGGGCACAGACTCAGAGTGAAGGGATTCAGATCACATTCCAGGCACCTCCTAACTCTGTGCAAAAAGAAGACTTGCCTTGCAATCTCCTTTGAACTTTCCCCTTCTCACCTTAAACCTATGCTGCATAGTATTTGCCATTTCTGCCTTTTAGAACTGAGATGAGGAGGAATTTCTTAGCCAGAGGGTAGTGAATGTGGAAGTCACTGCCGCAGAGAGCTGTGGAGGCCAAGTCATTGAATGTGTTTTAGATAGGTAGGTTCTGGATTAGTAAGGAGATCAAGGATTACGAGGAGAAGATGGGAGAATGGGGTTGAGAAATATATCCTTTATCCATCTTCTATCTGCCTCCCCCTTTCTCCCTGTTTATTTCAGAATCCTCTTCCCCTCGCCCATTTCTGAAGAAGGATCTAGACCCGAAATGTCAGCTTTCCTGCTCCTCTGATGCTGCTTGGCCTGCTGTGTTCATCCAGGTCTACACCTTGTTGTCTCAGATTCTCCAACGTCGGCAGTTCTTAATATCTCTGAGAAATATATCAGCCATGATAGAATGGTGGAGCAGACTCAATGGGCCAAACAATCTAATTCTGCTCCTAAATCTTATAGTTTTATTGAAATCTTACTGCAACTGTGCTTGGTGCTGGGGAGACCACATATGGAGCACTGTGAACAGTTTTGCTTCCCTTATTTATGAGAAGATATCATTTCTTTGGAGCCATTTCAGAGAATGTACACTAGGGTGATCCCAGTATGGAGGGATTGTCTGAGGTTATGGATTGTCAAGGTTAAACAGGTTGGGAATCTACTCACTGCACGTTAGATGAGTGAGAGGTGATCTCATTGAAACACTCATGATTCTTAAGGGGTTTGGCAGGGTGAATGCTGAGAGGAGGTTTCCCCTCATGGGAGAGTCTAGGACCAGTGGGCAAAGTCTCAGAATACAAGGCACCAATTGAAGACTGATTTGAGGAGGAATGTCTTGTGTCAGAAGGGTTGTAAGCCTTTGGAACTCATTATGACAGAGAGCTGTGTAAGATGGGGCAGAGTGCTTGTGTTTATTTAAGGCTGAGTTAGATAGATTCTTGATCAGTCGAGGAATTAAGGGCTATGAGGAAAAGGCAGGAAAGTGAATGTGAGGAATGTAGGATCAGCTACGATCCTATTGAATGAAGCAGCAGGCTTGAGGGGCCAAGCAGCCCACTCCTATTCCTATTTCTAATGGTCTTATGCACATCTTTCCTTCTCTCTTTACTTATTACCACATAAAATAATCCACAAGCTGTTGAGGAGATGTCTTGCATCAGAAACAGGGTGAAGGAAGTGAGGCAGGAAAGTGGAATTGAGCATGAGAAAGGATCAGCCATGATCCTATTGAATGGTGGAACAGGCTGGTGGGGCTGAGTGGTCTCTTGCTGCTCCCAGATCTTAGTTCCTTACATTTAATCATCATGCAACCTCATTCTGATACACTTAACACATGGTAAAATGAAAGATCTCATTGCTTGATAACAAAACTTGGTGTTTTTTTTGGAATTTTGTGTCGTTCACCATAGAAACTCAATTCTGAAGAACCAGGAATGGTACAGGAGGGGATTACCTACGCAACACTGAATATGGAAATACTCAGTCATAACAAAGGCTCCTTGGTCCCAGCAGCAGGCAGCAATTTGCCTTTCCAGGTAAGGTATTGATATTCCCAATCAAAAACTGACTGAGGAGCATTAGTCATTGAGTCAGGTAGACATGACAACCAATATGGGCAAACAACACAAGGAGAGCAGAATCCTTGTCTCCAGATCACAAATCTCCATTAGCACTGACTGACAAAAGGCTAGAATCTACCCAAAGAGTTCTGACAACATCTGAGGGATGGTTGTGTTCTGGTTACCATTGAAGGGGGTAGGAGACACAAACGTTTATGCCTGTGTCATTTTTTGTTATTTACATTCACTCGCGGGACATAAGCATCGCTGGCTGGGCCCAGCATTTATTTCTTCCCCATCTCTAGTTTCCCCCTTTGAGAAGGTGGTGGTGAGCTGCCTTCTTGAACAGCTGCAGTCCATGTGCTGTAAGGTTGACCCACAATGTCCTTACAAGGTAATTCCAGGATTTTAACCCAGCGACACTGAAGGAACGGACGATATATTTCCAAGTCGAGATGGTGAGTGGCTCAGAGGGGAACTTGCAGAGGGTGGTGTTCCCATCTAGCTGCAGCCCTTGTCATGGGTTAGGAAGGTGCTGTCTGAGGATCATTGGTGAATCCTGCAGTGCATCTTGCAGATGTTACACATTTACTGCTACTGAGTGGTGGTGGAGGGAGGGAGTATTTGTGGTTGTAGTGCCAATCAAGCAAGAGCTGCTTTGTCCCGGATGGTGTCAAGCTTCTTGAGTGTTGTTAGGGCTGCACCATCCAGGCAAGTGGAGAGTATTCCATCACACTCCTGACCTGTGCCTTGTCAATGGTGGACAAGCTTTAGGGAGTCAGGCCTTGAGTTAAACACTGCAGAAATCCCAGCCACTGATCTGCTGTTGTAGCCACTGTATTTATATGGTGAGTCCAGTTCAGTTTCTGGTCAATGGTAATGCCCAGGATGTTTACAGTTGGAGACTTTAGTGCTGATAATGCCAAGAGGATCCGGTTGGATTCTCTGTCAATGGTAACCCCCACCTCTGAATGTCAAGGCGTAGTGTTTGGATTCTCTGTCAATAGTGACCTCCAGGATGGTGATAGTAAAGGGGAAATTCAGTGATAATAACATCATTGAAAGCCAAGGGAGCAATGCTTAGATTCTCTCTCAATGGTAATCCTCAGGATGTTAATAGTATGGGATTCAGTGATGGTGATACTATTGAATGTCAAAGGGCAGTGGTTAGACTGTCTCTTCTTGGAAGTAGTCGCTGTCTGACAATTCCCAGATGATACCCATTATATTGATAATGCTGCAAAGGTAAAATTCTGCAACAGGGCAATGACTTCTTTTTACATTATTCATTGCTTCCTGGCATTTTTTAAACAGTTTCTCAATCATTGCATGGTAGCATTTCCACAAGGGATAGGCAGCATGGTTTTGTGGGAGGAAAATCATATCTCTCAAACTTGATTTGAGTTTTTTGAAGAAGTAACCATGAAGACTGAGGGTGGAATGCTGCACATTATTTACATGGACTTTAGTAAAGCCTTTGACAAGGTTCTGCATGATAGACTCATTAGTAAAGTTAGATCATATGGGATTCAGGGTGAGTTTGCAAATTGGGTACAAAATTGGCTTTATGGTAGGAGACAAAGGGTGGTGGTGGAGGGTTCTTTTTCAGACGAGAGACCTGTGACCAGAGGTGTTCCTCAGGGATCGGTACTTGGGTCCACTTCTGTTTGTTATTTATATGTGCATCCAACTCATTCATATTGGAAAAATGGTTAGTAACTTTGCAGATGACATAAAAATTGTGGTATAGTAGACAGTGAAGAAGGTTATCTAAGATTACGAAGAAATCTTGATCAATTGGGTCAATGGGGTGAGGAGTGGCAGATAAAGTTTAATTTGGATAAACACAAGATATTGCATTTTGGTAAAACAAACAAGGAGAGAACTTGTACAATTAATGGTAGGCCCTTGGGTAGTTTTGTAGAAGAGAGACCTAGGGGTTCAGATATATAATTCTTTGAGATTTGCATCACAGGTAGACAGTTTGGTTAAAAAGGCATTGGCCGCTTTCCTTCATCGCTCAGACCTTTGAGTTTAGGAGTTGGGATGTTATATTGAGGTTGTACAGGATATTGGTGAGGCCTGTTCTAGAGTACTGTGTCTAGTTCTGGTTGCCCTGTTATAGGAAGTATAGTATTAAGCTGGAGAGTGTTCAGAAAAGAATCATCAGGATGTTGGAAATGGAGAGCTTGAGTTATAAAAATAGACTGGGACTTTTTTCACTGGAGTGTAGGAGGTTGAAAGGTGACCTTTACTGAGGTTTATAAAATCATGAGATGATAGATAAGGTGAATGACAAGGGTCTTTTCCCTAGGGTAGGGAGTTTAAAACTAGGGGGCATATTTTTAATTGAGAGGAGAAAGATTTAAAAAGGACTGCGGAGGGGTGGGGGGCAACTTCTTTTACAGTGGTCTGTGTGTGGAATAAACTGCCAGAGGAAATGATGGATGCAGGTACAGTTACAACATTTAAAAGACATTTGGATAAGTAAATGAATAGAAACAGTTTGGAGGGATTCAGCCCAAGCACAGGCAGGTGGAACTAGCTTAGTTTGGGAACATGGTTGATGTGGTCTTGTTGGACTAAAGGGTCTGTTTCCATGCTGTATTACTCTGAGAGAGAGAGGATAGAGTGTGATATTGATGAAAGAGTGAATAACAGAGAGATTGGGTATGACAGAGAGGAGGACCTAACATGTAGAAAATGTCAGAGACCAAGAGAAAGAATTGAGCTATTAAGTGGGAGATGCAGAGAGAATGAGCATAGAATGGGTGGGAAATGCAGATGGAATGGGAATAGAAGTTTCATGGCAGGGTATCCGAAAAATTGACTAGCGGGATCAATAAATTGGCACAGAATTTAACAAAAACATAAAGGCAGGGTGAGAGGATTGACAGATAAAGAGGCATAGGAGACCATAGAGAGGATATAGGAAAAAACAGAAAGCATGTATCATGCAGTATATACTTATTTAACCACCTTTATCTCTTTGTTCCTTTGATGACAGAAGAAACAAATTGGGGCACCACAAAGTGGATATCAAGACATCACTTATGCATGTGTGAATGTTTCTGGAGATAGACTACAATAAGTTGCAAAATTGCAATCGATGAAACCTCATTTTGACACACTGCTCCCATTCATTGGCCAAGATACTGTGCTGATTTCAAGTGTTGACTCTCATGGAACCTTCATGTTATCATTGTAAACCTTTTAAGCATTATAATTTTGCAAGCTTATCACGTAGCAGCAGTTTTCTCTGCATTAGGGCATTTTATAGCTATTTATTTTGTACGAGCATGTGCAGGTGTGTGTTACCCCATTGGGCTGGGTGGCTGATGAGAGATGCCAAGCAGGGTGGTTTCAGTTCTTACACTGAGATTTCAAAGTAGGTCTAGGCCTTTGCAACTTTGAAAGATAAACATAGCACCAGTCCTCTTTCTCTCCATCTCTGTCTCTCTCTTGCTAACAATCAAGTAGCCGATGATCTTCTGGGGAGAGATGTGACTTTACTAAGGTTGGAATGAGCAGATAGATTTGATTTTAAAGATACGCAGGTTTGAGAGTAGTGATGTCAAAACCTGAAGATTAACCAAAATTTACACAATGGAATTTGCCTGTTTGGTGCACCCACTATAAGGGGGAGTGGTGAGGGACTTTGAATCTTTCAATGAATAGAGAAATATGGGATAGAAAAGTGTTTTGGCGTTTTTCAATAAATTGGCTATTGACATTTTTTAAGCGACAAACAGTCAAGCTCTACCCTAAGACCTACCTGGTCCTTCTTCCTAGCGATGATTAGTTTTCAATTTCTAAGCCCCTAAGAAAATAGTTGGATGTGATCCTATGAAGCCTTGCACGGTCTGAGCAATGAAGGAAAGTGAGCCAAATGCCTTCTTAACCATCTTAAATACCTGTGCTGCAACTTCCAAAGAACTATGTGCCTGAACCCCTAAGTCTCTCTGTTCAACAACACTACCCAGGGTTCTACCATTACTGTATAAGCCCTGGCCTTATTCATCTTACCAAAATACAAAGCTTTGCATTTATCCAAATTAAACTCCATCTGACCTCCTTTGCCCATTGGCCCAATTGAATAAGATCTCTTTATAATCTTAGATAAGCTTCTTCCTCATTGACTGTAATACCAATTTTGGTGTCATCTGCAAATTTACTCACCATGCCTGCTATATTTTCATTGTCCTTTGTTCAACAATATTCACTAGTGATACCAATAAAGAATGGCCTAGTCCTGTTCTTATGTTTGCTCAGATTTTTCTGAGTTCATGGGCGGGGACTGGGTGTGTGGGGGCAGAATGTGTGCATGGAGTTGGAAACCCAGGCAGATTAATCATCATTCTAATGAGCCATAGGACAGGCTTGAGGGACCAAATGGTCTACTTCTGCTCTTATTTTGGACATTTTTGGTGAACAGGATTAGATATGTATGCAATGCAAAGTGAGCTAACTCTGCACGCAAGGTATTTCAGATCTCTTAGAAAAATGTCCACAGAAAGTTAGAGTCTCTGTCAAACATCTGGCTGGAACAATAGCCAGTCCACGTTTAATGCTAACCACCTCCTTTCGAGCAAAAATCCCACTCCTTGAGGTCACGTTCAAATTGCCATCTCAGCAACTGGTAGCCAATTGAGCCAAGCACAAAAAGAGATGAGAAGAAAATATGCCTGACCTTGCAAAAAAATCCTGCCAAATAAAATGGGACTTTTCCGTCTGCAATTGAAAATGATAAGCAATGTTTATTTTGAGTTTCACTTCCTCTGACAAGCTGACTGGTCTCACTGCGTCAAGTCATAGCAAGCAGTTTTAACCGACAAATAAACTATTTCTGCCAGAACGGCGAACTGCATATATGCATATTCTATTCAGCATCAGGCTTTACATTCAAATGCACTTTTTTGGTGTATTTAAGCATATTTAGGTTAACTTTGCTGCACATTGTAAACTGTGTTTCCCTAATAAAGATGTGTGACTTGCAGAGACACAGTTCCTTCTACCACTGCTACTCTGCAACTATAACCATGTAGCAGTGCAAGCTGTATTTTTTCTTCTTGCTTAATAGATATTGAATCTGGGAATATTTCTCTCCTTGTTTTCATCGTCTTGATTTTTTTGCTGCATTTTGCAATGAAGGCAGACTATAGAAAATTAGAGTCGCCATAGCCTGACCAGACCATAGGGCTACTCACTCATGAGAAGAAGAGGTATTGTGGGTAAATCACCACAATAGTTATTTCAGCTACTTATTAAGAAAACTCATAGACAATCAAGTACTGAAACAATAATTCAATTGATTGCATGTAGCAACCAAATATAAGACCCCTCAACTATAAACCTGCAACGCATTTTAGCTATAACCAGATTAATAGAGTCATACAGCACACAAACAGACTCTTTGGTCCAACCAGTCCATGCTGAACATAATCCCAAACTAAACTACTCCCACCTGCCTATGCTTGGCCTATATCCCTCCAAACATTTCTTATTCATTTACTTATCCAAATGTCTTTTAAATGTTGTAACTGTACCCTCATTGCCACTTCCTCACCACATACGAAACACTCTCTGTGTGAAAATGTTGTCCCTCATGACTTTTTTAAATCTTTCTGTACTCATCTTAAAAATATGCCCTGTAGTCTTGAAATCCCCCACCCTAGGGAAAAGACACTTGCCATTCACCTTAACCATACCTCTCATGATTTTATAAACTTCTATAAGGTCACCTTTAAATCTCCTATACCCCAGTGAAAAAATTCACAGCCTATCCTGTCTCTCCTTATAACTCAACCTTCCATTCCTAGCAACACCGTGGTAAATCTCTTGTGATCCCTCTTTGGGTTGATAATATCCTTCCTATCACAGGGAGACCAGAACTGGACATGGTCCTCCAGAAAAAGGCTCACCAACATCCTGTACAACCTGAATATAACATCCCAACACCCATACTGAAAGGTCTGAGCAATGAAGGCAGCATGCTAAATGCCTTAATAAACCATCCTATGTACACATGACACAAACTTCAACAAATTATGTACCTGGTATTTGTGGTGAAATCTGGCCAGGACTTCAACCAACCATGGTCTATCTCCTGGATTCAATCTTTTAGTAGTTCTCCGAAGTTCTATTCAGTTGTTCCGGTGTGGGATTCCTATATAATTTTCTCTCGTTCAAGTTTGTAGTGTGGCATTATTGATTTCCTTTAGATTCTTTCATCCCCAATATTGATAACTTTTTCAGAGACCACAAGACTGTAGCTTCTTTTTTATTCATTCATGGGATGGGGGCATCGCTGGCTAGGCAGCATTTGTCACCTAATTACCTCTAAGAGTCAACCATATTGCTGTTGGTGAGGAGTCACATGTAGGCCTGAGCAGTTAAGGACGGCAGTTTCCTTCCCTAAAGGATATTAATAGTAGACCAGATGGTTTTTTTCCCCCAACAATCACAATGGATTCACAGCCATCATAAGACTCTTGATTCCAGATATTTATTGAATTCAAATTCCACCATCTGCCATGGCAGGATTCAAACACCAGAATGTTATCTTGATCTCTGTATTAACGGTCCAGCAATAATACCACTAGGCCATTGCCTCCCTTAGCTTGACCTCTTATCAAAAAAAGCTCCTTTATTCCTTGTTATATTTGGGGTTAACTGTCTGTTTAAAACACAGCTTTTTCCTGCAATTAACCCCTTTACTTAACATTGCTTCCTCAAGCAGGTCTAATTTCCCATTTGTCACAAGGCAGCAAATTATCAAGCAGTGTTATCTCCTCTCGCCCAGGAAACAGCTTGTTATGTTTTCTGTAACTCCATTTTTCCCTGAGATGCACTGAGACACTCCCCCCTCTCTTTCTCTCTCTCTCTCTCTCTCTCTCACACACACACACACACACACACACACACACACAGTATTCTGAGGTATATGCCATCAGGTCCTTGGGGGCTTGTATACCTTAATGTTTTTCAAGACCCCCAAACCACCTCCGTTTTCATCTCAACATGACCCAAACTATCTATACACCCTTTCCCAGACTCATCACTTGAACTGTCACTTGACAACAGCCCCTCCACAAACCACCTTCGGGAAGCAGTGACTGAACTGATGCAAATCTTCCCCATGTCAGACAATCACAGAACACCATGCAAGGACTGTGAGAAACATTACATAGGCCAAACTGGAAGAAAACTGACAATACGGATACATGATCACCAACTAGCCACCAAGAGACTCAATCAATTCTCCCTGGTCTCACTACACATGGACAAAGAAGGACACAAATTTGACAGGGATAACACATCCATAATAGCACTAGCTAAACAGAGACATGCCAGGGAATTCCTGGAAGCCTGGCATTCCAACTCTATCAACAAACACACTGACCTGGACCCGATATACAAACCACTGAAAAACCAAACTAGAAGTAATGCCAACCACCCAAGCAAACAGACGGGTTTAAATAACAAGCAGGAGAGAACACTAACGCTTCACTGGAGGCGTACTGTCGATGTTACCTAGCAGGGTGATGAAACGTCTGCAATCAAACACAACGGCTCAGCGAGCAAGTCCACAACCTCAAGGATATTATTAAACTGGACAGGGTTCAAAAATGATTTACCGGGATGTTGGTGAGAATGGAGGGTTTGAGTTATAAAAATAGGCTGAATTAGCTGGGTATTTTTTCACTGGAGCGTGGGAGGTTGAAGGCTGATCTTATAGAGGTTTATAAAATCATAAGGGGCATAGATAAGGTGCAGAACAAGATTCTTTTCCCTAGGGTAGGTGGCATATTTTTAACACAAGAGAAGAAGCTTTTAAAAAGGCAACTTTTCTTTTACACAGAGCATGGTTTGTGTGTGGAATGAATTGCCAGAGGAAGTGGTGGGTGTGGGTAAGTTGCAACACTTAAAAGAAATTTGGATAAATACTTGTTTTGGAAAGATTTGGAAGGAAATAGGTCAAATGCAGAAACAAGATTAGTTTGGGAACATGGTGAGTGTGAACTAGTTGGACTGAACAGTCGGTTTTCATGCTGTATGACTCTATAACTCAAACCCTCCAGTCCTGGAAACATCCTTGTAAACGTTTTCTGCACCCTCTTCAGTTTAATAACAGATTTCCTTTAGAAGGGCAACCAGAATTGTATTCAACATTCCAAAGGTGGCTTCACCTGTACAGATGCAACATGAAATCCCAACTCATATACTCAATGTTCTGACTGATGAAGTAAAGCATGCCAAATGCCTTCTTCACTACCCTGTCTAACTGCAACTCCATTTTCAAAGAATTATGCACCTGCAACCTCTAGGTCTCTTTGTTTAGCAACACTCTCATGCATAAATTACAACAATTATTCATTTCCGTCTGACACAAAAATATAAGCGGAAAGGTGGGATAGTTCGGGAATAGAATAAAATTTGGGATAGTCACATACCTTCATGGATATGAAGCAGACTGTAAATTCTTTTTTTTCCTTTATTCATTCACAGGATGAGGAAATTGCTAGCTAGGCATCATTTATTGCACATCCCTAATTGCCTAGAGGGCAGTTAAGAGTCATCCACATTGCTGTGGGTCTGGAGTCACATGTAGGCCAGACCAGGTAAGGATGGCAGTTTCCTTCCCTAAAGGGCATTAGTGAACAATTGCCAATGGATTCATGATTGTCATTAGATTCTTAAATCTAAATATTTTATTGAATTTAAATTTTAACATCTGCCATGTGGGGTTTGAATCCAGGTCCCCAGAACATTATCTGGGTTACCAGATTAACAGTCCAGCGATAATACTATTAGGCCATCACCTCCCCTTGCTTTATGTTGATACATGGAGGGGAACAAAGAATTATTAAGTTCATCGCCACTTTCAGTCAGAAACAAAGGAAATTATAATGGAGAACAAAGGAAAGGTAGAAGAATTGAACACATATTTTTGTTCTGTCTTCAAAAAAGAGTGAACACATCATTTCCCAGAAATATTATGGAAACAAGGGTCTACAGAGGTGAATTTGAAGAAAATTAGTATTCAGAAAACAAAAGTCATGCTGGAGAAACTCATGGTTTTAAAGACTGACAAATCTCTCGGCCTGATGATCTGCATCCCTAAAGTACTGGATGAGAGGAATCATAGAATAAGAGAATGTTACAGTACAGGAGGAACCTCCCGAAAGAGCTATCCAACTAGTCTACTCTACAGCCGTATCTCTGTGACTCTCCAACTTCATGACTTCCAAATATATTTCTAGCTCTCTTCTGAAACCTTGTATGGAATCTGCCTCCATCACACTCTCAGGTAGCACATTCCAAAACGGAACAACTGAGTAAAAAGGTTTCTCCTCATCTCACTCCTAGCTCTCTTGCTGACAGTATTGAAGTTGTGACCCCCTAGTTAATGTCATACCAACTAGTGGAAACAGAATATCCTTCTTTACTCTGTCAATATTATTCATAATTTTGAAGACCTAAATAGAGTCACCTCTTAATCTCTGTGCTCCAAGGAGAATAAGACCAATTTCTTTAAGCTTTACTTGATCTGCTACATAAGAGAGGATATACTTGTTATCAAGGCATTGTAGTGAAGTTTTACTAGACTGATACTGGGAATGTCAAGATTGCTGTATGAAGAAATGTTCATTTGACTGGACCTGTATTCAGTATAGTTTAAATGAATGAGAAGGTATCTGAAATTCTAATAGGGCTGCCCAGGATAGATGCAGGGAGGAGGTT